AAATGATATCAGCCAAAAAAAAAAAAAAAAAAAAAAAAGGAAAAAAAAAAAAGATGCTAAATATATTGCCAACTTCTAATTTGCTTTTACAGTGCAAATTAAAGCTATTTATTTGAATTTATAAGCCATGGCATTCAAACAGTACCCTCTGAAAAACTTTACTGTCTACCTAATTATCCTTCCACTGTAATTGTATGGGTTCTCTTCGCTGCAATACTAAAATACCTTCACATGTACAAATACAAGTACAGAAACAGCCTGTTTTCTATACTTGGACATATTTTCCAGCCCCACTGTGGATTATATGCATAAATATATTCCAGTTTTACAAAAGAATACATCTAACTAATCTGAGTTGTTACAGGCCTTGAAAATACCCTTATTGTTGTATGTGCTTGCAAGTAAAGCCCCAGCATGAGTTGCAATGTCTGTAAATGAACACACACACGACTCGAAGCCCCTTTCTGAAAGACACTGATTCACTTTGCATTGGTATGACATCATTCTTAGTCTGAGAGCGGCAGAGAAAGAGAGTGAGACTGAGCCATGCAACCTGAAGTGACTTAAAAGCAAAAAAATAAGGCAAGCCCAGTTACAATCATTTGAGGATGAAATAATCTCTGTCTTTTTAAAAGCAGATCCATACAAGTATTCATCCGGAACCATACAGAACTTCAATTTTCTGTATTTTCTCATCTGAAACAATCATTCTCACCCCTCTTTATTGACACTGAAATGTCTCTTAATTATCCAAACAAACTCTACCTGCCATTATAAATTCTTTATAATGATTCCTTCTTAATTACTCTACACAGATACAGATGCCAGTTGCCAGCTGGGCCATAACTGGAAAAACAAACAAATTCTAATGCAATCTTACACCAGCTATTATCTCAGATTCCCTATGTAATTCATTACTGGGTTAATATGGTAATGGTACCATAATGGGTTTATGGTACAATGCCACTAGGACATGTATTTTGGTAGCATCCTGAGGGCAACTCATATGTAAATAGATTCCATAAAAATTGTTTCAAGCAATAGGAGGTTTTCCTACAGTTTCAATGTTTATAGCAAATTTGAAAATTTTTCTTTGAACTGGACATATATGCTTGAAAATAATCTTTGTACATAACCTTTCAAGTAAAATTCAATCCCTGAAGAATCATTTGTGCAGCGTATGCTTCCTTTACAAGACAAATTATACCAGCCTTGATCCTAATGTAGTGCTATTAGTTATCACTCATGAAAAATGTCAGTAAGGATAAAAATAAGTTTAAAAAATTTCTTTATGAATCAGAAATGGAACAAGCAGGTTTTAGCCTAAGGCACTTTATCTCATGAGAATCAAGCACTCTTTGGAGAGAGAGACACAGTTAATAAGTTCTCTGGGGGGAATACAGCAACCTGTAATTAATTTTTTAAGAAAAATGAAATCAGGCGAAAGACTGAGTCCCCTAGGAATACATACCAAACCATTTTAAATTTGCACAACGTTGATAACTCAAAGCAGATTTCCTGTTTATTTTCAAAACAACATTTGTAAAATATACATCAAAAAAACCTTGCTCTAGTAATGTATTTTTTGTGTAGGACCTATGCTGACCCTTCTCTCTAAATGGAATTCTAGTTATTATATCTTTTCCCAGAAACAAGTTTTTCAAATGCAACTGCAGAAATAGTTAGTATACATGCAATAATAATTTCACTGCAAGGTTTTCTTTAAATAATTGCCACCAAATTGGTTCCCATGGTCACCTCATGCATCATACAGATATATTTGGCAGGTAAACAGTTCCTTAGCAACATTACTATTACCTTTTACGGTGCTTTTTAGTAGACACACATAAAAAGGTTTGCATTCAAGTGGTAATAAACCCTAGTTTCAGTCATGTAGTTCATCTAGAATATCTGGCTCAGATTATCTGATTTATTCAAAGCAATTAATGTTCTTGCCAAATCTCACACTGCCAAGCACATTTCAGGGACTTTTTTAAGCAGCATCCTGTCCAAAGCAGGAGAAAAAGGCTTGAGGTTTATGGGGAAGGTGTAGATCCTAAGTAATGAAGTTACATTCTGCATTGACCATTCAAACATAGCCAGTCTTTGAAGTCTTTGTTCCAAACTACAAAGACTGATGAGAAATACATATAAACAAACCTGACTTTGTTATTTGAGTGCAAGATCTTGTGGAAGATGTCAGACTGGCAGTCTTGGAATGCAAAACTGTCTACTTCTTCAGAAAATTCCTCCACACCACTTGTCTCACACCATTTCTGAAGGAGGAAGGGATGGTCAAGGCACCTGGAAATGCAGAAGTGTAGGAGGCAATGCTGGTTTCTTGTTGCCTCATTATTGACAATGGACCCCAGGCTCTCTTTGTACTTCTGGCTGTTCTTGTCTCAAATGACCTCAACAGCAGCAGCTAACTTTTCACTCTTACTTTTACATTAAGCAAGAAATGATTTAAATTATTTTAATCTGCTGACTATGACTTAGACATACATGTAAGAAAGCCAAGGGAAAAATGCCACCTTAATTTGTTAACCTGTTGATCTGAAAGCCACCGACAGAAAAAAGGTTATGTTTTAAATCTACTGCAGTATCTTCTGAGAAGGATGCAGTGATAGTCCTAAGAAGTCAAATTTAAAAATTGTGGAGGGCCCTTCTCTCCGAAGAGTGTGGTAGGACAGCCCTGAGAAATCCTCCTTTTCTTCAGTCAAGTTGGGACCACATAAGTGAACGCAGTGCTTCTGTATAATGTCCTTCAACTTAAAGACACTTCTCTCTCCAAATGACAAACAGTAAGAAAAAACCCCAAAACTTATACCAAAATGAGTCTCCTGCTCCAAGTATGCTCCCCATTTATTTTGTAGATGCCAGATAACTGTCTTTCAACTGTTGAAAATTCACACCCAAGACAAGTGGTAAAATTTTAATAAACAGTTTGAGACAGGAATCCAGAAGAATACTTATCCCAAAAGATGACACAAATGCTTTGCTTGGCTCACAGATATGTATATTTAATGGGGAAACAGCCCAATGGTTTTCTAACTATTTTTAAATCTCCATTTAGCTAACACACTTAGTAGGTAATTCTACATGGAAATACCAGCACTCTACTAGTTACTAGGCCTGGAGAAATTTCAGAATTGAAGAGAGATTGCTACTATGACCATGCAAACACAACAGTGACAAGAGGCTGACTGTGAAATCATGGATACTGGGAAAACACTAAAGAAAGGAATATAAAATTAAAAAAAAAGGCAAAACGGAAAAAACCCCTGAGTCCTTACTATAAAGTTCTTAGAAGAAAAGCAGATTTTATCTGGTTCCCCCTTTAAGTATCAACGGAGCCAATTTCAGTTTCCTTTTTACCAGCAAGGGTGGCTCCAAACCAGGCAAAATTAATCTCTCTTGCTCATCCCCAGACCTGAGGGGTAAGACTAACCAAGCCAGGTCACTATCTGCTTTCTCAGTTTGCAGCTCTCCTTTCTTATCAGTTAAAATGGGTCATTACATTTGTAAAAGTTACCTTAACTCAGAATTTGTATTGGGCAGCTGAAGAGCCAACCAGAAGCAGATTAAAAACCTGCAGCACTCCTGTTGCCAACGTATGGGAGATGGGAAAAGAGAGGAGCTTCTGAGTCGTTGCCATGACTGCGAGGAATAAGGCTTTACTATGTGAAGAGCTAATCATTTCAAAATGCTCCATCCCTTGAGGATCTGCACGAACCTTGAAGAGAAATTTCACACTAAGCATTCAGAAGCTGTCATTCACATATCTGTATAATTTCCTTGTGCTAATTCCACTTCCCTTTTATTTCTTTTTGTCTCTCTAAATTGGATGAACTGTAGTAGTTGCACTAAACTACAGAGCCTTGATATATGCTCATTAACCCTATGTTTCAAAGCAGAAATAATCTGAAATAATGAAAAGCTTGTTCCTCACAAATTCAAATTGCATTCTACAGCTTTCATCTTATCACACAAATGCCAGAATCACGCTACTAAGAGGCATGAACTAGTGATGGAAATTTCTAAAGCTTCAAACGAAGCCTGCCATTTTTTTAAT